CAGAAATCAATAAGACCAAAGTGTTTAATAGAAGTTTATTACAGGAATATTAATGGAACAACATTTGAAAAATCAAAAAAGACGACGAATTCGCTGCAAAAAAAAATTAGTGTACAATCAGCAGGAAGAATCCATAATTAACAAAAGACCCGAAAACACTGAAGAAGAAGACTAACCTCAAGCTACAGGAGGAAATTGAGTTTGAGATCTAAGAAACCACAGCCATTACCGTTTCTTTGAATCTCCCCTGAAACACCTGGATGCCAAAAATGAGCAATTTTTTTACATCGCAAAATTTTCAGCATACGCGCACCTCGCAGGACAATAATATAAATTTGCTCATTAAAACCAGCTTAGCTATTAAAAAGAAGGTTAAAAACGCATGAAATATGTCACTCTTCTTCTGAATTGCGAAGATAAATAAGGGTTCTAGGAAACTTAAATTCCACTGCAGTACTTGAGCTTGTCACAGTTCGCCATGATACCTGAATCAGGGTCCGCCTTCTGAGTAAAAGCTGTACGGTAACAATTCGTCTTAATCCTCGTCGTGGTCTGGGACATCAAAAAGTTTACAGTTCTAAATTAATAACTGCCTAATTAAAATTCTCATTCCAAACAGTTCGTACTCACCCCGCTTTCAAAATGTCTATATGGATCCTTCTGTTTGATCTGTTCTTCGCATATATAGCAGAAATATGTCTTGCAATATGCGCAAACCATTTTATTGCAGCCTTCGCTTTTCTTAAAAATTTAAAATTTGAAGAAGCAAAAATCAATGTCAGTTGATTTCCTCAGCAAGCTGATCTGAAGTGTGTATAATACATGAACGGACACCGACGAGGTACTGATAGTATCGAACTTTTAGGATCAAGGATAAGTTTGAAAGTGTGATTTGATTATAAGTAATAAACTATAAAAAAGTGATGTATAAAATCTACCTAGGCACTGGGCTGATTAAAATATTATCTGGGCCTGATGGAATAGTCCTCCTGGTCTACTGCGTCATCGTGGCGCGGAGGTCATTCCTGATGTCGAACTGCGAAGTGCAGCGGAGGTTTGTCCTCCAGCAGAGTCTCCCATGAGAAAGCGTTCGATGTTTCCGATTCTCCGGATGCCCAGCTAAGAGTAGGACATGCCAGAAGCACCACCGTCTAGTTAATTCAGTCGCTAGGTGGCTCCCTGATTCACATAAAGTCAGCGATTGCCTGTAGTGAAAGCGTAGCAGGCCCTGGCAAGGCTGCTAATGTTTAGAGAAAAGTTCTATTGCCCGTACAACATGTAAGAGAAAAAGAAGCCCTGCACACTGGATTACACCTCCGCTGTCGGATTTCATCAAGACCAGTGTCAGGTTGCACGATACGCCATGGATTTCGGACCAGGACATGTCAATGACTCGCCATGGAGATTGTCTCATGCTCTGCACCTACAACGCCAGGACAATCTCCACCAACACCGCTCTTCACGCCCTTCTCGCTGCAGGGCGCATCAATTATCATGTAATCGCCTTGCAGGAAACAAAGTCCAGGATGACGGACGTGAGGCAGCTGAGTGATGGCACACATCATTCGTGGTGAGGATTCTATCACGGAACGTTGGAAGCGTCGTTGGCATTGTCGTATACCCATCTGTTGTCCATTGTCGATTCGTATAGGATTATCATCTCGCCTGGCTATCCTTCAACTCCGCCTCTGCATCAGAAAACCATTACTATCATCAAATGCTCTCTCCAACATCAGCAGCTGACAATTCAGAATTTGATGTTTTTTATGAGGATTTAGAAGTCCCTCGCAGCAAGTTTCTTCTATAAGTTCGTCGTGGGTGAAATGCGAAAATCAGGATGAGAAGGGGAGCGCAGGATCGGGAGATGATCAGAACGACGGAAGGAGAATGGTAACCGTCTTGTTGTTCTCTCATCCACCGCACGACCTTCTCACGGCAACTCCATCTTTTTGAAGAAAGAACACCGGCAGTGGACATAGGAGTCACCTAACGGTACGACTCATGCAGAGATCTACCACATTCTCACCAACCGAAGGTACTGCTTACTGGACGTCTCAGTGGTACCATCCTTCAGTAGTAGCTCAGATCACTGCCTATGAGCAAAAGTGCTATTTAGCCGAAAGCTGGAGAAGAAGATTCACTGTGTTGGAGGAAGGCAAGAAGTCGTATATGAAGGCGCCAGATTGGAGGAGCTGCTGACCACTTATAGCTGGCCTCGAGGAGGATCCAACAAACGACTGCGACCTGCTTCTTAGAGGACTGAGAGCCTGCGGTGAAAGTGCCTAAATACCTCGCACAAGGAACTTGGAACGGATTTCGAAGGCCACCAAGGATCTGTTAAAAATTAGAAGAGCACTGAGGCTGAATCCGCATCATATCTCGAGCAACTGGTATCCACTACAAGTTATAGTACAGCTTTGCAAGAAGATTTTGGAAGTGCAGGCAATCGAAACTTTTGAAAGGATGGAGGAATCTAAAGAAATCTCAGCCGCAGAGAGCTTAACGTTGTGTTCCGCTAGCAACATTCTAAACGAAGACGGGGCTCGCACATCTCCGCGGAAGAAGATGGAATCGACCACGAAGAGATTCTGCATCAATTTCTTCCGCTCATCAACACCCGTGTTAAACCCCGTTATCCCTACTAGAGAGATACCTGCACGGATTCTACCCGCTGAAGTACGCCGCAATCCAAACCATGAAGGCAGTGACGGCTCTGAGACTGGGCCATGTTTCGGCCGACCTCTTACGAGCTGAAGAACATCACCTACATAAGATAATTGCGGAACATCTAACGTCTTACCTACAAAAGGAAAGCCCCACAAGAGGAGAACTTCCGAACAATCCATCTTCATAAGAAGGGCGATAGGAAGAATATTCAGAACTACCGTCCAATACGCTGCTGAGCGTGCTTTACAAGCGATTATTCTCACTCGCATATCAAGGACACTGGATGAAACCCGATTTCACAAGGGATTCAGCAGCATGGTTCGTATCGACGGTTTCGAGGATTCTCGAGGTTTGTCGAGAATCGCTTACCTCTCGTCCTAACTCGTCGACTTTGAGGAAGTGTTGCAGCGTCGTGCCATACTGTCAGCGCCTATCGACCAAGTGGACCTATCTCACGTGAGGACATTGGCTGCTGAATTGCTCTCTTTCTCTCGCTTTTTCCATCACCCACTTATAACAGTTCCGAAGGGGTCTGAAAAGGCGACAGACGTCGCCAAAGCTGTTTTCCGCCGCCCTGTAGTGGGTGATGAAATCACTGGATTGAATAATGTTAGATTCCTCTCACACCTTCGTTTTGCGGACGACATTGTTCTCTTTCGAGGTAGATCACTGAAGCGGAGACGATATTGAATGAACTAATTGAAGTAGGGGAGCGGATAGGACTGCGAATTAACCGGAAGAAGACTTTGTTCATGAAAAACGCTTGCGAAGACTAGGAGATGAGATTAGACGTCTCTCCAATCGCGGAGACCTTTTCTTACGTATATTTCGGGCGTTCGAAGAACATGGAGAACGATCTGAAAGTAGAACTAAGCAAGAGACCAAAAGTAGCTTGGGCTGCCTTTTTGCTCCTAAAGGAAGCCACAGACCAGCACGGACCCAGAGCTCCGAGCCCACCTGTTCGATTCAACTTTTCTCCCTGCGCACTGCCACGTAGCAGGCATGTGGCTAGCAAAGGCTCTTCGAAAACAGAGCGCTGGAGCAACGCCTTCTGAAGTACAATCGACGCACTCAACATCTCGTCGAACTTCGCAGTTTAGATGTGAAATCAATGTCTTGTCTTCGTGATCCAGCGAATTACATCTCTAAGGCAAAACATCAATGGGCGTCATATAATGAGAAGGACAGACGACAGATGGACACTAAACTCTGGAATGGATTTCTCGCGAGGCAAAACTTCCTCGAGGAAGGCCACCCACCAGATGGGCTGACATGTGGACCAGCCGAATTCTCAGTTGGTAACGTGTAATGGGACTGGACCTCGCAAACGTCGCCGCCGCAGTTCAATACCAACACCGTGGATGACGCTTGAAACGGATGGAAACAGTGCTATGGCCTGCATGACGAGTGAAGACAGGCCATATAAGTAAGTAAGTAAGAGCAATAATGGACTAGTTACAAGACATTTGCTGATTATTGAATCCTTGTTATTGTCACGTGCATAATTCGGTTTCCTCATTCTCATTTTCTCTTCCAACAATTTTCTAGTGTCAACAAAAAATTTGAACCTTTCCTGCGAACCTAATGGAGTATTGGTCCATCCCTCAGTCAAGCTTAAGAACTGAAGTTACTTATCATTCTCTCTA